ATTCAATAAGTCAACTTTCCCGGATATTCAATTTGATCAAAGATTTGATCAAAAGCAAAAATGGATTCAAGCAGTGCGACGAAACAAGTGAGTAAACAAAGTGCTCGTTACATGATCAAAAAATTAAATAGACATACTATGAGAGGAAAAAATATAATTTGTAAGAAGTGTCTAGCCCCAGCGGGCAACTATTAAGCTTGACCAATCAGCACAGATTAATAAATCAGGTTGGTGATAATTCATTTGTGTTTGTCAAAAACTCTAACGTGATTAGCCGGGCTTAATAGTTGCCTGCTGGGGCCAGACACAAGTTAATTTGCAATATTTGTTATGGTATGCTTTTTTAAAACGGCGTCAGCGATGGCTATGAAATGACAATCGATGACATTATTTCCCATATAAATTTACATACAAAATGACAGCGATTTTCATTCCATAGCCATCACTGACGCCGTTTTTATTCGATCATACGGTACTATGAGAGGATAAAATATAATTTGCAATATTAATGGTATAATTTTTTTAATCAAGTAGTGATTAAATGTTTTATGAACACCTTCTAAAATTATAATGATGTATCTATAAAAAAAATTCGTTATAGCCGAAATAGCCCCAATTATGACCCAGTAGCAAAACCAGTGATAAAAACTATGCTCGCTACTGTAGTTGAACTCATCTAAACAGTTTTTTGAACTGGAATAATACATTATAATACGAGTTAGACCTTCTGAAGATATCAAAATATTTACTCTTTTATTTTTATTTTTAGAGTTTTCGCAAATTATACTTCTTTACACTTTTTTAGAATAATTAAATAATAAATTTTCCGTATACTCGCTATTTAAACCCATGTATTTGTATATATATACTAGTTGTTTACGATATTCTCCGATGGTGGCAGCACCGGCGGAGAATCGGAGAATGCACCAAGCCTATACCTCTGACAAAAAAAAAATAATTTTATTATATTTTATAAAGCTCGATAAGGGCCCTCTATCGTTTCCAAAACAAAAATTGATAGGCAACCCATTTTACTAGGCATTGTTTTATTAATTGCCCGGGGATCGATGCCCGCTCCGCAAACAAAAGACCAAAGACATTTATTTTGTCTTGACGCGGAATGTTTCAAAACTTGCGGTTTTTCACGGCAACTGTTCCAATTTATTTAACATAATAACAGCGACGATGTAAACGGGAAGGCTGAATCATGACACGGACGGCAAACAAAATTTTCTATTGTCCTCCCCCGCTCACGGTCTTGTTTCAATTAAGGCTGAAGCGCCAGCATTTTTCTTTTGAACCATTTGAACCGAGGAACATCTGCCTGGAACAACGGACAGATTTAGGATTTACGTTGTTCAAAGGTTCTCTACCTGGTTTTCAGATTTAGGTGTATATTGTACATATACAGCGGAGAAAGTACTACTACTGTATAAATTTTGCGCGATAGTCGACGGCTAGGTACGGTCGCAACCAAGGCCACACAAATACTTGCATATTTTTACGCGAAAAATTAAAAGAATCAGTGCGTTTGATATAGCGGCGCGTGAACCAACTCGAAATGGAACATAAATTAAGTTTGATTTTATAATGGTGAGTAGAAAACGTATTTATAACATAAAAGTTTTATTTAGTTTAGTTTTAAAAATAGGGAAACAGTTGTCAAGGCTTAATTGGAACGACTGAGCCTTGACAACTGTTTAAGAATTCGCATTAATAATTTTATATCTCTGTAAAAATATACCATTTAATCTATACTAGAAATTAAAGGTTTTTAATGCGTACTATCAAAAATGTCATGCACTGTCAAATGTTATTACAGTTATTGGTATTTGGTATAAATTATATTTAGTCAAATGGGACACCCTGCATATTAGTTTTTTTTTATTTCAAAATATTTGTCCTTTCTTTTTAATATTTTTTATCGAAATATGATAAAATATACCGGGTGCGTCTCAAAAGTGGCCCACCTCCTATAACTTTTTTATTTTTTCAGATAAAAAAAGAGATTTGGTATGTTAGTATAGGACATGACTTAGGATTGATTGACGTATTCAATTGCTTTTGGTCACTTCCTGTTTCACCGGAAATGACTACAACTTTTGATTTTTAAATAGCACGATATTTTTACTTTATTCGATGGAAAATATCATTCTGAATAAAATGACATATTATCATATGTCAACTTTTGACATTTTGGCTTAAAAAAATATTGTGTTTTAAATTTCAATCTAGAGCGTCTTGGAAAAATAGATTTCATCGTCTAATGATTTTCGTGTCTTGTCCTGGACGGTTAATAGATCCGTTATAATTTCGTTTTCATTCTTTGCTAGATTATTATTGGCAGAATTTTAATCAGCTTCATTTTTTGCTATTTTAAAATGTTAAAGAAGCACAAAATTTATTTAGTTCAATGCTACGGAAAGGGTGATAATAGTATATCGGAAAAAAAAATATGACGTTAATCAAAATTAATTATAAGGATCTATCAAAAAATGAAATAGATATTATAATATCATAGAAACGCGTTAAAAAATCCGTTAACTAAGTTTTCCAAATAGAATAGGGGTGACTCTTTAGCATATTTGAAAAAAGTCAATCAATCCAAATTTATGTCACATACTAACATAGCAAATCTCGTTTTTTTATAAGAAAAATTAAAAAAGTTATAGGGGGTGAACCACTTTTGAGATGTACCGGGTATATCAATGTTACACACTAGACAATGTTTACACATTTTTATCAAATTTACCTAAAAAAATACCAAACCACAGTTTGCATTTTTTAAGTCTGAAACTTTGATAAAGATGTTTAAATGAATGGGCCATGTGTGATGATATTTTCTAAATCAAAAAAAGCTATGTTATTCAATATAATTCTAATATACAGGGTGTCGTATATAAAAATAGAGTTTATATCCGTAACTGTAATGGTGCGTTTAGACTTGAGCACGCACGAGCGGAGCGTGCGCGCACGGCATTCGTTCGCGCTCTCGGCTCCGTTCAAATTAAAAACTTATTTTTCGACGAATGAAGTGATCCATTTGTGCGCGCACAGCAGATTTGTATTGGCGAAAATAATGGACGACCAAGAAATAGTCGAGGCTGCAGTCATTGTTATGCACAGCTTAATTATTAAAAAGGAGAAAAATTGGAAACATTTTGGAAAAATTACGAACAAAAGATACAAATTTTAGAATAGCAATTTCATTAATATCGACAAATTCAATATTAATTTTATTTACAAGATCTTGCCATGCGTTTTTTTTTATTTTTTAATAATACAAAGAATATTTAACATCCCATAATAAAAAAAAATCACACACGCACGCACGAACGCAGACAAAACAAATTACCTGTGCAAACTGAGCGTTCGCGCACACATAAAATCCCTTTGAGCACGGACCAAAAACCGACACCAGACGGCTCACGTTCGCGGCTGCTCGCACACAGACAGATTCAGAGTGAGCGTGCGCGCACAGCCGTTTACACTTGAGCATTCGCGGAGGATCAGTGCGTGCGTGCTCAAGTCTAAACGCACCATAACATTTTGACAAAGAGTGAAATTATTTTTGATACGTAATAGAACGTAATTAAAGACTGGTCCAACGAGTCTTGAATGATTTCGACAGATGACATCCAAAAAATGACCAAAATTCAATTTGTCTCTGAATTAAAATGACAGATAACCACTGTAACTACCTAGTCACTGTCAGCTTGTCAAAAATACCGAAGTCTGCGGGGGGGGGGGTGTTATTTAAAAAAATTAAAATCTACTTTGACACTTGCAAATGCCTAGTTAAATATTGATAAATTTATATTAATGAAATAAACCATTTATTCTATATTTTTGAGTTTAATGTAAAGATTTGTTTACTCATTTAAAATCTCCTACGTACTTTGACCAACTTACAGCGCTTTCAGATGGAGCGGACCGTCCGCGAGTTCGAGCAAGTACCATAAGTTTATATGAACAATTTCACATGGGTCGCGTATGCTCCGTTCGGATGAGTTCATCCGACGGCTATCTTGAAAAATCATGCGGACGCTCCGCGCGGACGGTCCTATCAAAGGTCCTATCTAAAAGCGCTGTTAATGTCTCAATGGTTTTCTTAAAATATATGAATAATTTATGTTCTTAGTATTTATACTTTTATTTGTGTTACTTATATGAAAGAAAATTTTCTCATTTTATCTTTATTCTTTATCAGTATTATCTTTTCGTATTCATTCTATATGCTTTTCCTTTAAATCGAGTTGTAATACAAATATCAATCAATAAAATCAAACAATTTTAAATTTCTCCAAAAAAACGCATTTTTCCATTTGTACTTTTAGCTTAATGCGTTTTCATTAACTTTTTTTATTTCATCCATGTGACATTGTTTTAAATTACTTTCGAATAGAAATATCAATAAATCGAACCATTTTAACATAATTATCCAAAGAAAATCCTGTTTTTATTTTTTTTAAATTTTACTGGTTTTCGTTGATTTTTGTTTTTTTTATTCCTGACACTGACAATTGTGTCTGTCATTTTAATTCACAGTCAAATTAAATTTTTTGTCATTTTTTGGATGTCTTCTGTCGAAATCTTCCGTGATTCGTAACATAGACTATACATAAGGATTTTAGAATTAGACCAAATTTTTGAAAGCATCCAGGAGTTGTTATTTTTATTATACCATTCTACAGGGTGTTTCATTGCGCATTATTCAGAATATTATGGTAAAAAGTACAGATTCAGTACAGGATAATACTGTAAATTTCCAGATAAGAATTGTTTACCCATCATCAATCAAAAACTTGTTTGATCATGCAGTATTGGTAATGAATCTGTAGAAAAAAACATATAAAAGTAGTGTTAAAAAGGGTATTTATTTTATAACTATACAGTATTTCCCCGGATTATCTTTACAAAAGGAATTTTTTATAGTATTATTGACATTTTGGGAAAAATGCATTATTCATAAAAAAGTTTGCTTGTTCTAAAATGGTTAACCCTGTTTATATTTTTTTCAAATATCCATACCGTTTTAGAGAAAATTAAAAAAAAACATAAAAATGAATTTAAAGAAGACCTAAAAATTAAAAGTCGTTTCTATGATATTATAATATCGATTTCATTTTTTGATAGATTCTTATAATTAATTTTGATTAACGTCATATTTTTTGATGTTGTTAAAGTATCACATTTTCCGATAACTATTATCACCCTTTCCGTAGCATTGAACTAAATAAATTTTGTTCTTCTTTAACATTTTAAAATAGCAAAAAATGAAGCTGATTAAAATTCTACCAATAATAATCTAGCAAAGAATGAAAACGAAATTATATTACCATAAAAGCACGTTTTGATTTTTAGGACTTGAAAATTTAACTATATTTTCATATTTTTTTTAATTTTCTCTAAAACCGTATTGAAAATTGGGACAGTATGTATAAACGGGATTAACCATTTTAGAGCAAGCAAGAATTTTTATGAAGAATGCATTTTTCTCAAAATGTCAATAATAAAAAAGTCTCTCTCCTCTTGTAAATACATTCCGGGGACATACTGTAGAACGTTTGAAGTGGGTTAATTTTAGCAATCCTCTTAGAATAACACCATTAAAAAACTGACATTTAAAATAACAAAGCCGGAAGAATATAGGTTACCCTGATAATTAAATATACAGTATGTCCAAAAAAAATCTGATGAATCCTTATACGTACATAATTATGTATCAATTTTATGACTTTCAATATAATTCTAATAACGAAGATCTAATGATCGTTTGAACTGAGACGCTGATGCGGTTCGTATGGAAATTCGTCCATTGTGTTGATATTTTTCTTGAAGGTTCGTCCAAAAACCGACATGGCATGAGTAATTCAGAACGAATCATATTGACGAACTGCATCGACGAATCGCATCAGCGAATAGTGAGTATGATCACTATTTTATTAAAAACATATAACAAGAACTATAAAACTGATCTGATCCGATCCTGTCGTGTTACAAACACACGTGCTTTGATTAAGGCGTGATTAAGGTTTGCAGAGCTTGAGCATTTGCCATAAAATAGCGAGCAATTTGTTACAAAACCATATAAATTATATATCACTGTAATCACAAAACTTCAATCTATTTCTGTATTGTAACGGACTTTTAAATCATGTCTTTATTTTCGAGAAAATTTAGTCCAAACATAAGGAATATTTTGTTGATGTTTGACCTTCAAAATTTTTAAAATAAAGAAGTTGTCTAAAAATGTGCTACAATATGGATGTAATGTAATCCTTTATATTTAATTTCCTTCTTCATTTCTGTAAAAATACCTGCCAGTTTTACATAAAACGAAAAATGCCGAACGCTTATTTTGCTACTTTTTCAGACTAGTGAAATGGACTCTTAAAATTCACACCACACTTCTAAAATGACCAAATCGGTATACTTCAGAGTCGTTTATGACAAAATAAATTAATAATATCGTATTACATACTACCCAAAAGCCCCCCCCCCCGTGGATACGCCACTGATTGTAAGATAGGTGCAATAAATCAAATTAAATATATTTTTGATTCCTAACCCCCTCGTATCTCTATCACAACTAATATAGATAAGATATGGGTAATTAAGGATTAAAATCGAGTTGTTGATTCGGTATCAGACGATATTCAAGTTATTAATTTAGTTTCAGTTGGAAAAGTGTGCAGTATGGCCAAAAAAACGTATCCGGAACCAATAGGTAAGTCGAACAGTTCTTTAGTACTACTAATTTATCGAAAAACTGAACTTGTTTTGAAGGACAATATTATCAACATCAATAATACTAAAATCTTAAGTAAGGTTATCATAATTAAATAAAAAAAGATAAGATATACATACGTCAAAATAATTTAAAACAAAAATAATAAGTAAAACATATTATGGATAAAAGAATAATAATTTTAATAAACAGTAACGTTTGTTAGAATCTTTTTGTTATATTGTTTTTATCTACTATAATTGCTTATTTATAATCTTAGTAATTACAATAATAGTATGGATGATCAGGATACCTTAAAATATAATATCTACTATTTTCAAAATATATTAATTATTACTAACAGACTCGGCTACGCGTTGATGTTGCTAAGGTATACGTTAAATTATATTATAATAAACTATTCAATACAGTGAAATTATTAACTAATATACAGGGTGGCGTACCTCATTCACCTCGGTTAATTATACATAAATGGAAAGATGTAGGTAGAAACAAAATACTTTATGGGTATAATATGTAGGAAAGCAATATGCATAATTTAAAATTACTTTGAAATGTACAGAATGTGTCAGAAAATTTTTTTCTTATGGAATATCCAGTATTTTATTTCATTTTTGGATTGTTGGATATAAAATAAGGCATTTATTAGAAGGATTTAATATGTTTTAAAACTTTGGTTTTTGAGATATTTAAAGATATTTAAATATGCATGCTATATTAAAAAAGTTAACACCCTGTACATTACTTTTCAGAACTAATTCTTGTGCTGACTTTTAAGCCAGAGAAATAAACTTTACTAAAAAATTGGATTGCTTCATTAAATGTATACAGGGGTATAAAAAATTGCTGGTTTATTTTAAATACTTATTTTACATAAAAACTTTGTTATTTCAAAAGCAACACTTTGTATTTTTTAAAATAAGTCGAAGCAGCTTTAAATGTTCTTTCAAACTATATTATGCGAATTTTTGAAATACCTACAACAGTTTCATAAATAAGTATTTATTATGTTATCAAGAAAGAAAAAGTATCTAGTTCTCTTTGATTTATATTAGAATGACTTGTGATATATTGGATTTTCTATAAAAGAGCCAATTAAGGCAAATTCATTTTCTTCACTTCCAGCGACAGGTTTCTGCCTAATAGGTTTTTCATATACCATACTATTAGCTATCAGCTCTGCGAAATAAGAAAAGTAGTTTTTGAAAGGAACGTTTATCAAGAAAATTCCTATATGCCCCATATCTTTGAGCATAAACCCTCCAGGCCAACAAGCAACTTTTCTCACAAAATAAAATCACTACACTAGTAACATATCCATTCTTTCCGCCAGCAGATACTTCATTTTTTTTTAAATAATAAATACTTACTTATTAAACTATTGTAGGTAAATTAAATAAAGGTAAACTGTTAGGAAATTTAAATAAAGGCCATAAACTAATGTCGATTTTGAAAATAGCTACTTACTGTCACCCAATCATGGCGATACCAGTTATCTTGATTTCCATTTTATTGAAAAAGCGCTTTTTGTTCAAAATCTGAGCCAGATAAACCTTAATATAGATTGAAAGAGCGTTTAAATCTGTTTCTATTTATATAAAAAAAATAGAGGGTGTTGCATTTGAAATAACGAAATTTTTATAATAATATTACAAGTTTCATTAAAAGATGTGAAGTTTAATATCGGTTAATTTTTATTAACCATGCTTACTATTTTTTGATAATTATGATCAAAATTTATACAGGGTCCGGCAATAGTGCGTCGGGCATCTGTAGCTCCTAGAATAAAAAACTTGGGATTTTATATTTTAGAAATATTTTATATTTTAGAAAGTTTGGCGTAGAATATTGAACATCCTGTATGATTTACAATTACCATATTTATAACAAAGTAAGAACAGACCATCTAAAGTAAATACCTAATATAGTTTTAATTTCAAAACAGTTCTTTTCCTTTCAACAGTATTATTAATAATTTTTTTAAGAAGGGCTGAAAAATATACATTTTTGATTTATTTTTTAATATCTCTGAAACTATCGAAATATATTTATTCATATCTTAGGGTTATGTAAAGTGATCTGAAAGGAAGCCAAAAATGCAATAATATACAGGGTGTTCCATTTAAAAAAAATCATCTTGGTCCACTCACACTTTTTTGAGCCACCCTATAGAAGTTAAAATATTTTCCTGAAATACATCCTGGTACATACTTTAGGTTTGCACTTAAACAAAATTCCCAAGTTTTTTATTCCAGGAACTACAGATGCCCGACGCACTATTGCCGGACCCTGTATAAGTTCCAATGATTATAAATATCTTATAAAGAAGTATTTGTAAAATATTTCCATGAACTATGAAACTCATATCATACTGTATTTTCTCTATAAAAGGGGAATATAGTTAGAACAGCCAGTAATACTTATTTAGCAAATTTTTAATTTATTTTAAGAATTAGGAACAGCGTTTTCATTTTTTAAAGTTCTATAGTTCATGAATAGCGTGCAAAATAAAAACTTTAAGTAATGTATAAAATTTCAAGACCACAGGCCATTGCACTCGCCTCTAAATAACTAAAATGACATTGTCGTGCACAAATGCCACAAAACAAGCAACTTAAAATATTAAAAAGCCTAGTAATGGGATTCTTTGAAATATTTTTTTTATTATGTGGTCAATCCCATTTCTAAATAATTGAACAAATATTTTCTTAGAATGAACACGAATATTGGGGACGACCCATTTCTATGATTTCCAAGATATTTCTGTAAACAGGATTTGTAAAAATCAAAATTTATTTATTGAAATATATTAAAAAAAATGCGTTGTTTTTATTTTCTAGTAAATATGACAATTAATCACATAAATATACGTTATCATAAACTCTTTACATGGTATCAGTTTTTCGTTTTCATTTCTGTATGGTTTTCAAATTTGAAAAGACCATTCAAAAATTATACAGGGTGGCCCATCGAAAACGCTCCGCAAGGCATAACGGCTAGGGTAATTTTTTTCAGAAAATTCAAAAACACGTCAATTTTGTTTGTGAGGGGGACAACTTTTCCCACAAAAATGATTGCAAAATCTTCAACCCTCTAAGCGGGGCTGTCATCCCCCAATTTTTTTCAAATGGGAAGGGGGGTCAAGTGGTACCGCAATGAAAAAGGATTTCTATTCTCTATACTTTCCCTCTTCGTTTTTGAAAATCGGTCCAGTCATTGAGAAAATATGAAGGATTGAAATTTGAAAAGTTTATTTAAACATTTATCACAGTAAATGATAAGGATAAATTCCTTCGACCAATTTGCTGTTTTTTCTTATTATTTCTAGATGTTTTACATTTTTTCACTTGCCGCAAGGTTGAACGATCAGGTGAGGTAGTTGCAAGATAGCTGTTCTGTGTCTTGTGCCACAACTTGTGCGTTGAAGTTCTTTTCAATATCGTTAAACTTTAACAATTATGGTGTACTCACTTGCAGAAAAAGTGCAAATAATAAAGCTTTATTTTAAAAATAAACTTTATTTTACTTTATTTTAAAACGTCTTCGTTGAGTTCTTGTACCAACTGAATTTTGTACCGGTGGAACTTGTGTTTTTGTAATATCCTTTGGACGCTTGTACGATTCACGCCGGTCTCATTGGCTAATTTTCTTGTACTCAGCATACTATCCATGGCAACTTGGCCCAATAGGAATACTTCCATAGCTTCATTTACTACTTGATTTTCCCTCTGCCTCTTTTTATTCATAACGGAATCAGTTTCGCGAAATTTTGCTACTAACTCGCGAACAATTTTGCCATAAAGGTGTTTGTCAGGATGGCCCTCATCGAATATCTGCGCAAACCGATTGCCACATTCATTATTTTTAAAATAAAGTTCGATTATTTCCACTTTTCCTGCAAGTGAGTACACCATAATTGTTAAAAAGTATACGTATAAAACGCACAAGTCAAAGAACAGCTATCTAGCAGCTATCTAGCAACTACCGCACCTGATGGTTCAACCTTGTGGCAAGTGAAAAAATGCGTAAACATCTAGAAATAATAAGAAAAACAGCAAATTGATCGAAGGAATGTATCCTTATACAGCGTTTTCACATGCGACGGACCGTCCGCGACGGAGCGTCCGCAATTTCGGGCAGGTACCATGAGTTTATATGAACAATTTCACATGGGCGCGTATGCTCCGTCCGACGGAGTTCGTCCGACGGCTATCTTGAAAAAACACGAGGGACGGTCCGTCGCATGTGAAGGCGCTGTTATCATTTACTCTGATAAATGTTTAAATACACTTTTCAAATTTCAATCCTTCATATTTTCTCAATGATTTGACCGATTTTCAAAAACGTAGCGGGAAAGTATAGAGAATAGAAAGCTCTTTTCATTACGGTACCACTTGACCCCCCTTCCCATTTGAAAAAAATTGGGGGATGACAGCCCCGCTTAGAGGGTTGAAGATTTTGCAATCATTTTTGGGGCAAAAGTTGTCCCCCTCACAAAAAAATTGACGTGTTTTTTAATTTTCTGAAAAAAAAATTACCCTGGCCGTTATGCCTTGCGGAACGTTTTCGATGGGCCACCCTGTATTAATGATCGCTATATTTGCTTAAATGTGCGAGACTAAATATAAATGTTTGTTATTGCTGTTATGGCGTGCTCAGACGACACTTGGCAAACATTAAACCTTTGTTAATGGTATACAGGGTCCGGCAACTTGTGTCTAGCCCTAGCAGGCAACTGTTAAGCCCGACCAATCACGTTAGAGTTTTTGACAAACACGAATGAATTAACACACTCCAAATAACCACGCTAACCAACCTGATTGGTCAAGCTTAATAGCTGACTGCTAGAACTAGACACTTCTGTCCGGCATTAGTGCGTGCGGGTACCTAAACTGTTCAGCCATCGTCCAACGTTACGTCATCATTATTTGTCAAATATGACTTTTAGCGTGTGTCTGAGATCAGTTCATATTGTTCAG